GAACCCCGCCATATGGCCACCTTGTTATGACGGTCACTTGGAATTGGCCATATATTTTTACCCTGGGGTGTGACTACCATATAACATGGGGGGCCTTGAACTTTTAGCCTGCGTCGCAGTCGGATCGGAGACATAATCTAACCCCGGTTGGTAACAGATGGACTTAACCAGAAGTTTACGAGGCGGAGTTGGGGAATTTTCGAGCCACACAAATTTTTGTATTATCGTTTTTCTTGTATGAATTTTTTTAGGACGTAGCATGAATATTTTTAGGGTTAATTGGCGTGCATGCATTTTTTCATTTAATTTTCCCTTGCGCGAATATTTTGTTTGTACTTCGTCCATCACTGTCGGGAGTTTAGCCAGTTTTTAACATAATTGCGTTTTGCCTCATTTCCAATTTGTTCGACCCTAACAGCTACACAATGTTGCGATGACGAGAGAGCGAGAGAGAGCATAAAACGCTGACGGTCAGCTTTTATCTCCCCTTTCTCCATCAGTATTCCGTTTTACCGGCACGACGTTCTCGTTGCCTGCGCTGTCCGTAGTTTTAAACTCTCTAACAACGCCTCTTGTCGACGCCTTTTGGACTGGCGTTGAAATTAATCATATAAAGCTGGGCTTTTACTGTAATCCGTACCATGCAGTGTATCGTCGTATAAAGTAAATTAAAAAAGTTTATTGGAGGCCGCCGTATGATGAAGGATTAAGCATTGTTTAATTACTTAATCCTGCATTGACTGAATTTCACATACTAGCCCGAGACATTCTAATTTGTGAGGGGAATTAATGAGGACTTTAATTTCCTAAAGTACGGACAGAACTGGAAATAGATGAGTGGACTCGCCACAGACCCACCGATTACGATTTTCTAGACAGTTGTCGCGGTTGCTACTTGAATTGCAAACAAATTTAAGCGATGCGTGACAAAAGATTTTGTCAATGAGGTGTTAATTGAGAAGTGATTACCTCCCAGGAGGTGGGGTAATACGAGGTCTTGTTTACCAGCTGGCAAATTCAGAAACATTCCTTAAAAATTTGTGATACCTTACCTCAAAGTGATTACTTATACGAGTGAGTCACGTAAACCAAAGTTTAAGTTGCAGAGTTGCAAACAAATAAAACTGCACTGGCGAAGTTTTGGAGCTGGCGGATAATTAATTTTGATTGATTACTCCTTGTAATTTGGTAAGGTTTATCCAAATTTTTCCCCGATGATAAGTAAAATTTGTAGCATCCCTTCTGAACCTAGTTTTTGCATTCAATAGACCCCGTACGAACCAGGGGTGCATGCTATGCAATCAATAAATTTGTTAAAACGCTCACTTGTAGTCGTTTGCCAGTTTTGGCGAGAGGGAGTTTAACCATGTTAACCATGATTTATTTAAACCAAAGTTATGTAGTATTTTGATTACCATCCAACATAGCTGAAGAACGGAATTATAGACCATAAATTAAATGGATGACCCCCCCCCCCCCCCCCTCCCATCCCAAGTTCTGGATCCGGCACTGGTTTGTTACCTAGTTTTGCCACGATAGCGTGAATTCATCCCTCGAGGAACACAAAAACATAAAAGTAATGCTTTTCCTTTTACAAGAACTGTTCAGACTGTTCAGATAGCAAATTCCCCTTCACCAAAAAATATATAAGTCACTTTTTTAATTCTCGGCCGCCACGTAAATGCCCTGCCACACGAAAGGTTTATAGAAATTCAAGCGAAGAACCCTTTCGAAGTGAAAATCTTTTTAAAATATAAGTTTTTAGCTGCTCTAAAACATCGCTTCATGAAAGTAAAAACGTAGGAGGACAGATAGTTCTTTTCCTTTTTGAATTCTGTTGACGTCAATTGAAACCAGGAACTCACCATTTTCACATGAACCATAACGCACCTTTTTACCGCCCAAAAATTTGCATCGCCATTGTTTTTGATTTCCTTGGGACGACTTGTAATACTTACGAGAAATTGAAAACCACGATTGTGCAAAATTTTGGAATCAAACAATGTGCATTACGGTGTATGGTAAATAGCCAATAAAACAAGCGATAGAGTCTTCAAAACAGCCTCTTGGTGCTATTGGACGCGCAACTACAGAATAGCCAATAGGCTGAAATTAGGTCTGTTCGTCCTCAGGTATTGATCCAATACTTTGACGCCGATGACTGCTCGCGGGCTCATAGTGCTCTTACTGGGTGGATATACAATGGGAGAACAGTCATTACGTGCTTTTATCTTTCTGGAAAATCTAGTATTCCCGGGATTTTTACATCGGTTGAGCCCACACAGGAGAAAATCCATGACAACGGACGTCCCGATACCCTTGGGAAAAGAAGTGTTGATTCAGAAAGTGAGTTTCCTGCGAAAGATGATGTCAAATGTATGAAAACTAGTAACGAAAATCTTGATATTGACCTGAAAGTAAAAACATCTTTTTGAGAATCATCTCATGTATTTGGTATCAATTGTACTTAGCACTTGGGTCTTACAATTCCTGCTTGAATTGCTGAGTTAGGAGTAACGAGCAGTGAATGTGTTCCGCTCTCGTTGATCGCAGAACTTTATCTCTCGTTAAGTAGAACCCCGCCATATGGCCACCTTGTTATGACGGTCACTTGGAATTGGCCATATATTTTTACCCTGGGGTGTGACTACCATATAACATGGGGGGCCTTGAACTTTTAGCCTGCGTCGCAGTCGGATCGGAGACATAATCTAACCCCGGTTGGTAACAGATGGACTTAACCAGAAGTTTACGAGGCGGAGTTGGGGAATTTTCGAGCCACACAAATTTTTGTATTATCGTTTTTCTTGTATGAATTTTTTTAGGACGTAGCATGAATATTTTTAGGGTTAATTGGCGTGCATGCATTTTTTCATTTAATTTTCCCTTGCGCGAATATTTTGTTTGTACTTCGTCCATCACTGTCGGGAGTTTAGCCAGTTTTTAACATAATCGCGTTTTGACTCATTTCCAATTTGTTCGACCCTAACAGCTACACAATGTTGCGTTGACGAGAGAGCGAGAGAGAGCATAAAACGCTGACGGTCAGCTTTTACCTCCCCTTTCCCCATCAGTATTCCGTTTTACCGGCACGACGTTCTCGTCGCCGGCGCTGTCCGTAGTTTTAAACTCTCTAACAGCGCCTCTTGTCGACGCCTTTTGGACTGGCGTTGAAATTAATCATATAAAGCTGGGCTTTTACTGTAATCCGTACCATGCAGTGTATCGTCGTATAAAGTAAATTAAAAAAGTTTATTGGAGGCCGCCGTATGATGAAGGATTAAGCATTGTTTAATTACTTAATCCTGCATTGACTGAATTTCACATACTAGCCCGAGACATTCTAATTTGTGAGGGGAATTAATGAGGACTTTAATTTCCTAAAGTACGGACAGAACTGGAAATAGATGAGTGGACTCGCCACAGACCCACCGATTACGATTTTCTAGACAGTTGTCGCGGTTGCTACTTGAATTGCAAACAAATTTAAGCGATGCGTGACAAAAGATTTTGTCAATGAGGTGTTAATTGAGAAGTGATTACCTCCCAGGAGGTGGGGTAATACGAGGTCTTATTTACCAGCTGGCAAATTCAGAAACATTCCTTAAAAATTTGTGATACCTTAACTCAAAGTGATTACTTATACGAGTGAGTCACGTAAACCAAAGTTTAAGTTGCAAAGTTGCAAACAAATAAAACTGCACCGGCGAAGTTTTGGAGCTTGCGGATAATTAATTTTGATTGATTACTCCTAGTAATTTGGTTAGGTTTATCCAAATTTTTCCCCGATGATAAGTAAAATTTGTAGCATCCCTTCTGAACCTAGTTTTTGCATCCAATAGACCCCGTACGAACCAGGGGTGCATGCTATGCACTCAATAAATTTGTTTAAACGCACACTTGTAGTCGTTTGCCAGTTTTGGCGAGAGGGAGTTTAACCATGTTAACCATGATTTATTTAAACCAAAGTTATGTAGTATTTTGATTACCATCCAACATAGCTGAAGAACGGAATTATAGACCATAAATTAAATGTTTTTGTCTTTAAATAATGACTTTAGGGATCAAAATAGTATCCGGCGAAAATTAGCTTTTTCTTTTTTCTCCTTTTGTTACACTTTTATGCATTTACTTTCGTGAACTTTGTTAAATTAAATAATCTGAAGAAGGCAGACAGGTTGATTGATCTTGTCTAAAGTGAACAATAAAGTTTGAAAGGCTTGTTGTAGATGCCAAAGACGGAATTTGGCAATATTGGATAGCTCTGTATGTGACATACACATGCAAGATTACACAACTTTAAGGTATTTGAAGGAATGTGAAAACAGCACCGACAGTTTGACGGTAAATCTCCTGACCAGTTAAGAATAAATGGATCGAATTAAATGACTGTCATTTTCACCATACGTTTTACTTACAATGTACACGATTGTTTTCTTTTTTGCTTGTTTATTTAGATCCGAGGTTCAAGGTAAACTTACTATTTTCCGGCGTCACACTTGACTCGCTTTTTTCAACTGCTTTTTTTTCCCATAACGAGACTAAATCAATCTTGATCTTTTTTCTCCGCTGTGGGTATTTACTTTTGTGTGTATCTGAAAGGCATAAAACCCTTTTTACAAACTAATTCTCTATTAGTATGTCATTTTGTGATAGACAGTAGTATTCAAACTTAACGCTTGATTCCATATATAAAAAACGATATTGGATGCCGATCAGTTATCCTTTCTTACTAAATATTTCATCAATTCCCAACTCCCTTTCTGGATCGTCTTTGTCCACTACTTGAAAAGGCTTTCTAGGTCTCCGTACGTATCTAGCTTTCTTTGCCTCTTGTAATAGATCTTGCAAAGGAGGGAGGAGGTACACTGTTCTTGGTAGACCGTCCGGTGGGACGTGCATATAAGGCGTTATATCAGAGTCTTCATTGTCATCGTCGATAAATTGATTTGGTGGTTGAGAAAGCCTATTTTGAATCCTGTCTTTAACAGCATCAAGGCTGAGATTTACCAAAAGAGAGTCAGCTTTTGGAGCCCCTCGTGGCGAGGCAGGTCGAAGTCTCTCGGTTTCACCGCTTGTATCTGTTACAGAAACAGATATCGGTTGCTCAGTTGCTTGACCCGATGACGTCGTAGCCTCAAGGCTCAGTTTTCTCCTCGATGGCCGTCGCTTTGCAGTTTCTTTATTGAGCTTCGATGAAAAACGCGAAGAGTTAGCCTGGGCTTCTCTAATTGCGAACTCGGTATTTGTCCTTGAGGTTAGGTCTGGAGGAACCCGCGAAGGTAAAACAGATGTACTGTTCATGGAGGGTAACGTTGGTAACGATAAACTTTTTCGTCGTGTACGTGAAATGTCCGAATTTTGTGCCTCTGGAACCTTTCCTTTGTTGCTGTCCGTATTGGCATTGGTTGACAAGTCCGTCATTTTGCCTTTTCGCAGGTTTTTCCCAGATTCCATTCTCCTAAACTTTTTTCCCCTCCTTGCTGTATCATTTCTGGCTTTACTCGCCATTTTTTCACCGAATTGATCTAAAGTTCCCGAAGAATTCGCGATGTCTTTCAACTCGTGTTTGATTCGCCTCATTTCGTAATTCATGGAGTTTAAATTGGCTGTCTGATGTTCCTCTATGTTTCCCTTGTGAAGTTGTAAGCGATTGTGCGCGCGTTTGTTCAGATCACGAGCCATACTTGCATTGTAATCAAGCTGCTGGGCAGACAAAATGATATTGTTGCTGCGTCGTGGAACCCTATCAGCCATCACGAGTAGAATTAATCGGTAACTGTCTGTCAAAATGACTTGCCGAGCAAGCACTCTCGCGGCTTTCAACCTCAATCGCCCTTTTAGTACGGTTGTCACCCAAAGAAACAAAGACTGGGACGTCTTGACAAGTCGTTGAAAATCACTGTAGTGTTTAATTAATCGCTTGCATAGCAATTTGCTAGTCGATACATCAAAGACTGAAAAGGAAGAATGTTAAACATTTGCGCTATTGGCATGAGACACTAAAAACGTCACGCTGCATTTGAGACCATGAACAAAGTACAACAAAGGGAGTAGCACAAAGACTTGCGTCAAACTCCAACCGCAGTTAATGTTATTTCTAAATACAGTTCGTGCGCAAAAAGGCTTCTATATTTTGTGTCATGGCCTTTCGTAAACAAACTCTATTGAACTACTTTGAAGTTCCGGAAGAGTTTCAAACAAAGTCAGCGTGCGATTCACACTACGAGATTCAAATCATCTTTAAAAAACAATTACTTGATTCATTTGTCTTGACTTTTTTCCATTTTTCTCAAAAGCTTTATTTTGATCAATTTTATACCGGTTTTGCTATCTTTTGTTTTGCAAATTAATCAGTTTCGTGACTTTCCAAGAAGAATAGTAGTTAGGGTCATCTATTACGTCATAGTTTTACAACAACAAACAAATCAAAACAAAGAGAAGTTGTTCAGTTTTTGCGAAAAATTGTATCTCCTGCTTGGCAAACTTGTATCCTGCTAAGCGGAGATAAATTTATTCTTTAATGAACATTGCGAACTGTAACGATTTAGAAAGAAGTAGAATTTAGGAAGATGTAAGACTATCAACCACTTTACGGGGGCGGGGAAGGTAAAGTATGTTTGGGGATGCGGCGCTCAATCAAGTGCTTCAACCGGACCCCGAATTGAAATGTCACTGTAAAAGCGTCGGGTTTCGTAGGCCATGAGCGTTGGAATTACAGGTTGAAAAGGGGTGAGAAGGAACTTCTCCTGAAAGAAAAAGAAAAAAAAAAACTTCAAAACTTTCTTGAGTGCGAGCCGTCTCTCATTTTTTCCTCCGTGCACACGAACCCGACACACCAAGAGGTCTTTGATTGTAATTTTTTTCTTTAACCCCCTTTCATGAGAACTAATTTACACACTTCGGTCGAATTGCATAAAGCATTTTACGGTAACGGGAACCCGTCAATATTGATTCAAAAAATAGGTTTTTATTTCAGGACAATAATTAAGAGTAATATGCAACCGGGCATGATCTGATGCCTTTCATTCATGCAAATAGCCTATATTCATTAATGGACTTAGGATATTGGACTCTGTAGTTGTAGGCAGGTTTTGCGTATAGTGCGGACGTCCGGTAAAAGCATTCCCCGCTTCTTTTTTTATATTTGCTGATGTCTGGTTCTAATGGATGACTATGATGAGTCAAGAATCCTAATTAACCACTGTTTAAATAACCTGTAGGATGCCACCGCTTTTGGCAAGTTTACCCCCCAAAAGGTTCTGATTGTTCACTTTTAGAAAACCCTCTCATTTTTAAGAGAGCCCTGTACTCTTTCCCAGGCAACGAAACGTAAGTGTGCTTACATCGTGGTATTAAACCAGTTGCTTTAAGCAGCCATTATCAGTATTATAGCCTGCATAACAGGCGCTTTATGATCCAAGAAAGGCGACCGCGGCATTTCGCGCGAAGCGCGACACACGCGAGACGAAGGGAGGAGAAAAAATAAAGCCTGTTGCCAGTCCATTGTTCTGGCTCTTCCGCCCACCTACCTATTTTCAGTCTCCTCCCCTCGTCTCGCGCGTGTCGCGCTTCGCGCGAAATGCCGCGTTCGCCTCGCTTGGCTCATAAAGCGCCTGTTATGCAGGCTACAATATTAGGCGTTCGCTGAGATATATGCCAATCAAATACTGTGGATGAGGTACTCCCTATATATAATGGCCTTTACGGGTATGCTCTGCCCTTTAAGTTAAGGGATATCATACCTTTTTCGAGCTTCAAGTATAGGAAACACTAGGATTTCATTAAAGTAGAAAATATGAAAGGGTAGGGAAATTCGTCAATGCGGTCTGTGAAGAACCTAAAAGGACTAACATGCGCATTTTATGGCTGTGAAATACCCAATGGCAAACGAGAAGATCCTGGGGACGAGATTGTTCTGTTCCCGTGTCTTCGTATTTTTACTTCCGGTTTTGCATGCGCCGGCAATATTCTAGTCAGCAATGATTACGTGAGTATGCGTAAACAAAGACCGGCCTGTAAACGGAAGTGGAACAGGGTCTTGTTGGAGAAGTCGTTCAAAATAGAGCGGCACGTTATGAATCGACAACGATTAAAAAGTCGCTAATTGATCCTCAATGTTTGCAAAACTCAAGCAGAAGATCGCCGAGGAGGAACAAAACTCTGATTCCAGTCGTCCTTTACCTTCCAGCCCGAGCGTTCGGCGACCTAAAGTCAATGGCTGGACTGAGAATAAGTGGGAGAGACGAAGGCTTAGCAATGCAAGTAGCTTGTACGAATCTAGGGAATCTATTTACAGTGAAAGCAGTGTCGCTTCATCTGGGTATAATGTATCAAGGCATGCTTCATTCACGAGCAGATCAAATTCAACTCCAGCAGGAACGCCGATTGAGTCTTCTTCGAATTTTACGGTTAGTATTAGGGAACGTGTTCTCCCCATCTTGCTTTCTCTCATGACTTTTTAATATCCTACATTGTTTCGTTGTGACCTTGACTACACCGTGTCCAACGTTTTAGCTAGAACTTAAAGGAAGTAAACTTAAAATAATCCAAAAGATGAATGAAACTATTAGCTAAAGCTTCAAGGCTCTCAACTGCAAGTAAACAAATGCTCTTTTGTGGATCGAATCATTGATCAAACCAAAGCGCTGCGTTATGAACTTGAATTAAATTATTCTTCCACGTTGCCGGCTCATTATACCAGCACCCATATCTCCGAGAATAAAATTAGTTTGATAAAAGCGATGAAGTGATTAGAATAACCTTACTCTAACTAAAAAGGTATCAAAAGACGAGATATTCTACTTTGGATCTGATCTAAGTAAACTGCATTTCATTAATAATAAATGAAAGGTTGGTAAATTGGTTGTCTTTGTTAGAGTTTGGCCGTAATTTTATCTGTGAATTGTATTCAACTAATGGATCTTTATCCATTATCAGTCGCTATCATGAAATAATTTATGCTGTTGAGCACTTTTGTAATGAAACAATATTTTGTAATAAATTTGTTTAGTCATGAGTTTTGCTTGACCGAGTTGTCAAATAGTAATTGAATTATATGTGTCTACAACAAGCATCCCTCTGTTTGTTGTTTATGGATGGTGTTGTTAAAACAGCCTCAGCCAGTCACTTTAGAAGTGTAGTTCTTTTTGGCTCTAGAGTTATGATACAAATACAGTCCAAATTATCATGCATTCAAATCAGTGCTGGCTATTTGCATACATTTGTGAGGCTTGCATTGTAAAGGGACTGAGGTCTTCAATCCCCCTAGTGCAGGCACGGATCCACACCGGTTTCCACTAGTTTACAGAAATCGGTCAGATTTTTCATAACAGATATATAAAAGAAAAAACGTTCCAAGTTGCAAGGCTTCATCCCAGGAGAAGGAACTGGCCAATATCCTGTCTGAATGGCTGAGAAACCCAGGAAAGGGGACTTTGGGAAGTTAAAATAATAAAATTCCCATGGGGAGCATGCCAGCAGACCCCCCTAGGGACTTGCATCTTTGGCGCTCGTTTAGGAAATCGGTCAGTATTTGTCCTAGATCCATGCCTATAGTACATGTGTAGGCATGATTTCCATCTCTCCTGATTTGTCCGGCCTTAATTGTTCCAGCTTTGGTCGCTCCCCTACCCCTGTTGTGATTTTTTTTAAAAAAACTCTGTATGTTATTGGATAGAAGATGGGCCAGGGCTGTCACTAAGAATTCAAGTTGCTGGGTAAATACAACAAGTAGGAAGGGAATCAAACAGCCAGGGTTTTCTTTTGGTTCAATTTTTCTTCTATTTTCCTACGAAAGTAGCTGGGGGCCACATTCATAGCAGCCAGGGGAAATCCTAGGCCCTCAGCTCTTAATGACAGCCCTGAGGTGGGCACCCTTTTTTTTTCATATCATTGGAGAGAAGGTAGGCATAACTCCTGACCAAATTTGTCCTCAGTCAAGGCAGAATAACTTGGTAAAGTTCATCACTACCATTACCATCTTGAAATTTTGACATTATTCTCTACAAACCTGTCAAAGAACAAAACCACTCTCCAAATAGCAGCTGGACTAATGGTTAGGTAAACCCAAGTATCAACTATCAGGATTGTATAATATTGTTATGATTTCCCTTGTTTTCTTTCTCATTGCGCATCTAGGTTAATAGTAGATCATCAAAGGAAGAAATTCTTGATCTGCTGGCAAAGAGAGGGGAGCAAGTTTACAAGCTGGAGGCAAAGATTGCAGGTACATGATATGTACATGATGCAGTAGAATGGAATGTTATATGTATTCACTGTCTAGCTGATTCAATATGTTGATGTTTGTGTATCTCTTTAACTTTATTGTTATGGTTCAACCCTATTATTGTACCTTTTTTTACTTTTTCTTCCCGCCTCGATTAGCTATAGGCTACTTTGCAGGCAAGGATTAATTTATGGCTTGTATCAAAAGTGTTTTTAATAAACTTTATCTTGAACTTGTTATACCTTAAATGAGATTTACTTGAAAAATGTTTATATTGAAGGCAACATGCTAGATGAAAGGGACTAATCTCATTTACCTAGCCCTACAATCATCTCTTCAAAGTAGGACATCTCTTTTACAGCTGTGCTCCAAGCAAAATGTTTGGAGCTCAGTGCTTTGAACCTGTGATATCCAGCATACAATTTTTATGTAAAAATGAAGAATGATTTCCTAGTTAACCAAGAAAAGATGCTAGGGGCCTCTCCTAAGAACAGCCCTGTCTTTATAGGCTGAAAAAGGTTTATTTATA